ACTGTGTTTGACTGAGGAAACTGGAACTTGGGTGTCCCAACTGGGCCCAGATCGGGAGGACTGGGTTTGACTGGGAACTTGGGTGTCCCAACCGGTCCCAGATTGGGAGGACTGTGTTTGACTGAGGAAACTGGAACTTGGGTGTCCCAACTGGGCCCAGATCGGGAGGACTGGGTTTGACTAGGAACTTGGGTGTCCCAACCGGGCCCAGATTGGGAGGACTGGTGTGACTGGGGAATTGGGAGGACTGGGTGTGACTGGGGAAACATGGTGGGCAAGAACTGGGCCCAGAAACGTCAGGATTTGAAATTTCTGGAAGTTTTTGTCTGCGTACAAAGCCCTGTGGTCGCAGTGATCCGTCATAATCCAGCCCTCCCTTGTTATTTTGTTTTGGGCTGCCGTCTTCCCCCCCTGTACATAACCCACCCTGATAATGATTGTATATAAGCTATGTTTCAGGTCAGGTACAGCCAAAATGAGGGTGCGTTGTGTTCGCGAGTAGACAGTAGCAGAGGGCTGTCGTTTTTTCCTTTTAATTCTTATTTGAGTTAAAACTTGAAATAAAAAAACAAGATTGGAGGGTGCACTCTAAGGTTGGATTGCGACTCTGCAGTGTTTGCACATGTGCCCTGACACATTGTGAAGCCGATATGTGTGGGTCCCCGGACGACCCAGGCTGTCCCGCACCTGCCCACGAAGCAGTGTTTCTCGCGAACCTTTACAAACTACCCGGACTAGTTCCCTGCAGACAAGATTTTTTTTTTTTTTTTGAAAATTTAGCCTTTAGGTACTTGCCTGAGTTTATTGCCTGATCTGTGGAGACGTGAGAATATACAGTGAGGCTGAGGTATCAGAGATAATATAGCAAGATAGCGAGATTAACCCTTTAAGTTAAATAACAGTTTCAGCGCCAGAAATAAAAAAACAAAAAAGGTTATTAGTGAAACGGTATTCACCAATTCGTGGTAGCTGATGCAGGTCCCAGGGCTCGATCCCTGGTTCCCCAACTTACCTGTGTACAATACCTGCGTGAACTCGAAGAGTTGAACCCGCGACCTGTAGAACCGTCAGTGGTAGGTAGGTCTGTTGTAGGTCTATAGGTAGCCAGGATTCGATCCGTAGCCCTGTAGATTAGAAGGCTAGCTGCAGTCCTTCTAGAAGGTTGGCAAGTGGGCAAGTGGTGTGACTAAAGCAAGCCCATGTTGGAGACAAGGACAAGTGGCAAGGTCAAATAGTAGGACCCCAGTGCAACTGCACTGCGTCGTAGGGTTGTCGTCATACAGTCAAGGGAGAGTCTAGAAAGTACCAGTCCGGTCCAGCAAGTACCACGGGGGGGCACTGTGTGCACCATGGGCCAGGGACACAGGGCAGACCAATGCAGCGCAGAAGTATAAATCAAGAGGCTGCGTCCAGCCATGGATGATTCCTGCGGATGCCATGCGAAAGCGCTGCCTTAGCAGCTTGTGCGAGGAGGTCTGCAGCGTGCCCGAAGACGAAGTGGGCAGAGAAGTGTAGTGTAGCGATAGGTAGTGGCAGCTAGCGCTGCCGTAGCTGTAGCATAGCGTGTKTGTGTGTTGCGTATGATACKGAGTGTTGCGTGTGGGACAKCCAGGGTGATCCAGAGTGCGAACAGTGAGTTGTGTGGACGCCCAGTCGCCATAGCCAGTTGAAGAGAACTCATATCTGGTTACGATATCKTAAGTACTGTCAGGGCGCATGTCGCCAGTTGCTGTATCGCTGTTTGCATGCAAGACGAGTGTGAATAATCGGAGTGTGAATGCACTGGTATCAGAGCAGGTACCCGCTGTTCCATGCGCGCGATGTGTGCAGGGCCGATTGGCCCTAGCTGAAGTGCCGCCGGAGGAGGTAGTCCGCCATAGCGGTCCTCAAGGTGGAAGGAGAAGCCGCGCACCTGCAACAAGGAGACTACGAGAGAGAGAGATGAGTGATACAAGATTGGTTACTTACCTGCTGCGATGAAGATACTGCTTCGGCGGAAGAGAGAGAGAGAGAGAGAGAGAGAGAGAGAGAGAGAGAGAGAGAGAGAGAGAGAGAGAGAGAGAGAGAGATGAGCGATCCAAGATTGGTTGTCACTTACCCGTGAGCTGGGCCGTGGAGTCCGGTGAAGGAGGAAGACGGCTATAACTGCGGAGTATTAAACAGAGTACTGGAGGAGAGAGAAAGGGAGGACAGAGGAGGGACTGAGGAGAGAGAAGAAGTGTGGAAGGAGGAGAACGAAGAAGAAGACAGACATAGCCGGGGGTGTGTATAAAAAAAATAAAAAATAAAAAAAAAATATATATATATATACAGCGAAGGAGAAGAAGAAAGAAAGTGAAGGAAGGGGAAGAAGCCGGTGAGGGTGACAAAGGTGATAGTGCCGACAGCCATAGCTGAGTTTGAGGGTTGGCCAGAGGGTTGACCAGGCGTTGACCGAGGGTGTTGACTAAGCGTTGACTTGGGGTTGTCCGCGTTGACTCAGCGTTGACCAAGTCGTTGATCGGAGCTGCTGACCAAGATTCTGACCAAGCTGGAGTTGGTGATATCTCGTTGAGCCCTAATTATCCCCTTACCCTGTGGATGTGCACTTACCCCACGGTACTTGCTGAGTTGTCTGTCTACTCTTTCTGCATTGAGTCTCTTCTGTCTTAGGTGCTAGGACTCTGTGGATGAAGGATAGGGCCTTGCTGCCAAACCTGCACGGGCTTAGTAGAACCAAAGCTGTACTCTGGCACTTGGAGACCTGGGCATGAGCGGCGAGCGCTTGTTAAACAACTCGTCTAGCCCAATGACCGGTAGTGTTCGGCAGGTCTACTGAGTTCAATGTGGAGGGTCTGAACTTCGAGCTGTAGGCTGAAACGAACCGTTTCAAGTGTTGAGGCCTGGTAGAGCCACTCCCCTACCGGACCTAGAAGGCTGATGATCCGTGTTTGACTTGATTGTCCCGAGGGATACGAACCCCTCCAAGGACTGGTACTGACCGGCGGGTTGCTCGGTGTGGCACAGGAGGCTGGACGGGCTGAGTTGTGGGCTGAAATCGCCAGAGGAACCAAGTTGATCGCGTCGTCCTGTCTGCGACGTTAAAGAATTTTGTAAAGTTTGGGGGATCTTCTTAAATACCTCCTGATCAGCTCTTGGTTCTGTAGTGACAGCCTTAGAGTAGTTTTGGGTTAGTTGTGATCATCATTGACATGGTCTTATCTTGTGGTCCTTAGGGAGTCAGTCAGTAGGTTAGTGTCCGGGGAGGTCCACGCAGTGAGGAGTGGGACCTTTGTCGTGCACCAACACCACGATGGATGACTATCTGATGTATGGGCTACTTGTTGGGTTCTCCCTCTGGGGGACCCTTTGGCGTTTCCTTTTTCCTCTGGGCTTTTGGCTCACTTTCACGTGTAGAGTACGGCCCACTCATGGTGGTACTTCCACCAACCCCTACACGAAGGAGGAGGAAGAGAAGATGGCCGCCATTCTGAGGAGAAGAAGGAGAAGGAGGCGAAGAAGAAGGCCTTGAAGGAGGAGTAGGTGGCCAAACTGAAGAAGATAGAGGAAGAGATGGTCAAAGAGAAAGAGAGGATACAGAAAGAAGAAGAGAAGTTGAAAGAGGTGGAAGAGGAGGAAGAAGATGAAATGCCATTGCAGAGGAAGATGGTGCAGAACAGTGGTAGTAGGGATGAAGAGATGGAGAAGCGAATCTCTGAGTGGGTCGCCAACTTATCCCTAGGCGAAGAAGAAGAGGTGGCGATGTATATCTCTAAAGATGATCAGGAAGCCGCTATGAGAGCTTGGGAAGCAGAAAAGGATGTTGTGAAGT